CATCTTCAGTGTGACCTTCCTTCTTGCAAAAGGTGCAGAAAGGCCTCTTACCAGTGGAAAAGGACCTTCTGTTAGAGCCTTGGATAGCTAGAGCAGATGGATCTGTGGTGATAGAAGCTACCATTTTGCCAGTCTGAGTTCCATATAACTGCCTCTCATGCTGGAGCAGTCTTTGAAAAACACGATTAATAGAGGGTAGTTCTTCTCCAAAGAGTACTTGAGAACGGACGCCATGAAAGTTTTCATTAAGACCTCTGAGAAACTTGATAACATAGCTAGTATCATGGTATTCTAGGACTTTCTTCATGGCTCTACAGTCTATGTGGCTGGTAGGTGAACAATCACAGGGGAGAAGTGGTTGGTAGTTATCCAGTTCATCCCTTAAGGTGATTACACGACCATAATACTCAGTGATGGTTTGGTTACCTTGTTTCAGGGTAGCAAGAGCCTCTTCAATCTCAGCAACACGAATGATATCCCCAGAGCCATACCTTGTTTGCAGGCTTCTCCAAGCTTCATAAGCAGATTTGCTGGAGAGGATGGTCTTCCTGATTTCACTTTCAACAGACTGCTGAATCCAGCTAAGTATCATCACATTGTTGCGAACCCAAGCACCATGCTTTGGATCTGTGTCTGGTGGTTCTGGAATGGATCCATTGATGAACCCCAGCTTGTTTTTGGCAGCCAGTGCATTGAACATTGCACGGCTCCAATCGTTGTAGTTGACGGTAGACAGACGTTCAGCAACCAGGAGAGAGCCAGGCTGCTCAGAACCATGAAGGAAGTAAGGATCTTCCATCTGGTAAATGACTTGAGGTGGCTGTTCTGCAGCTGCAGCTGCATCTGTTGTTGTTCCATTGACGGCGCCTAGGGTTTCACAGGCTCTGATACCATAACAATAGATCTGGAACTTGAAACCCTAAAGCTTGTATTGATTTGTCTCAAGGATTACAATATATATTGGATGCTCTATCACAAACAGACAAGCTTCCAAGTACATCTTTGTAGTTTACTTGAAATAGAAACAAACACTGACTTGAACCAAAAGCAAACAGATTGCAGGATAGAGTGAAACGACAGCGCTGTGGCTTAAGTGAACAGATTGAAAACGGCAGCGTAGAGACCCGACAGTGAGGAGGGTTGAACGACTGCGTAGCAACGAAACGGCGCGCATCACTTCAGCTCATCTTCTTCATCATCAGTCGAGAAACAAAAGGTAAAGGTAAGTTACCGTTGAAGCTTGAAAATCAATTTCCCGGCGCTGTTAATATCGTACGAGAAAATCACATAAAAACATGAATCGATTCACTTTTCCACCATTTTCAGTAATATAATTGTGAATTATATATCATCAAAAACTGATCTGATCCGTCGCTATTCCTGGCCATAATATGAACGGTAAACTGTAATTATAACAACATTATTACATATATACTTGACGGTTCATTGGGCTATAGATTAATTACTGGTTAGTTGATCTCAAGATCAAGAGGACCAGGAAAGAAAGGACAGAGGCCCCAACATAACAGTGTTCCCTTCGAGCAAACACCCAGACAGATCGACCCAGTCAAATTGCGAAGAAGCATATCAACATACCATGTGCTTTCCAACGAATCCATTTTATTGCTGCAATCATATCTTCAGTGTCAGATTTCAAATCCAATTATTATTATTATTATTATTATTATTATTATTATTATTATTATTATAAAATAGATGATGGAGAGAATATATATATATATATATATATATAACGAAATCTCAACTTGTACAAGCATTCGTCTCTTCTGCAGGGTTTGTATTTTAAACGTATTAATTACAGACAATAATTTAACGAGCAAAGATAAAAAAATAAATAAATGAGAGTACTATGGTTGGTCCCTGCAGAAAATGGTTGTGAAAATAATGGATCAAATTAAATGTCTAATTATTGTTTGTTTTGAATGTGAGCCCAACTGCTACTGCCACAAAGCCAACCCATTTGAGTTATGGTGGTCTTGCGAGACGGAAGGTTGAATTATTTGCCGAGACTTACCCTAATGGAATCGGGGAAAAATCCAAAAGTACCACTGTTTAAAAAAAAATTCCAAAAATACCATCCAATCCCAAAAAATTCCAAAAATACCACCCTTTTACAAAAACCGCCACCCCACCCAGCGGTTTGGTCGAAAACCGCTTGTCGGGGGCGCGGTTTTGGACCAAACCGCGGGCCTAGGGGGCGGTTATAAAAAAAAAAAAAAAATTGGACCAAAACCGCTGGGTGGGGCGGCGGTTTGGCCCAAAACCGCCACCCCAACCAGCGGTTTGGTCCAAAAGTTCGGTCGAAACTTCAAACGAACGTAACTTTGCACTCGGGTATCCGATCATAGTGATTTTTTTTTTCATTTCGCATAACTTTTCAAGATCTACAACTTTTACTAGGATGAAATTTTAAAAACAGGAACTATTTGTGGATATACGGGACCTTGAGAATAACTTTACCTTTACTTTTCAGAAATCCATGTACATTTTGAAATTATGATTATATTAAAAGTTGTAGATCTTGAAAAGTTATGCGGAATCAAAAAAAAGTTCATAATATTCGGAGTTTGGAGCACAAATTTATGGCCGCCCAAAGTTTGACGAAACGCGAGACCCGGCGGTTTGCGGCTTGCAAGATCTCAAAAAGTTTGCGGCCTCCATTTTTTGAATCCGAATAACTTTTTGAGATCTTGCAAGTCTCAAACAGTCGGGTTCCGTCTTCGTCTCGAAAAAACGTCATTTGCCACCCCGAACGACCTTTTTTTATTTCGTCAAACTTTGGGCGGCCATAACTTTGTGCTCCAAAATCCGAATGTCATGAATTTTTTTTTATTCCGCATAACTTTTCAAGATCTACAACTTTTAATATAATCATAATTTCAAAATGTACATGGATTTCTGAAAAGTAAAGGTAAAGTTATTCTCAAGGTCCCGTATATCCCCAAATAATTCCTGTTTTGAAAATTTCATCCTAGTAAAAGTTGTAGATCTTGAAAAGTTATGCGAAATGAAAAAAAAAATCACTACGATCGGATACCCGAGTGCAAAGTTACGTTCGTTTGAAGTTTCGACCGAACTTTTGGACCAAACCGCTAGTTGGGGTGGCGGTTTTGGGCCAAACCGCCGCCCCACCCAGCGGTTTTGGTCCAAATTTTTTTTTTTATAACCGCCCCCTAGGCCCGCGGTTTGGTCCAAAACCGCGCCCCCGACAAGCGGTTTTCGACCAAACCGCTGGGTGGGGTGGCGGTTTTTGAAAAAGGGTGGTATTTTTGGAATTTTTTGGGGTTTGGTGGTATTTTTGGAAAAAAATTTTTAAAGAGTGGTACTTTTGGATTTTTTCCATGGAATCGCTGCACATGTTCCATCCAATTAATTAGCTTATGACAGAATGATATCATCAAACTCGTGATTCTACACAGAAGTGGAAGTTAAATGAAAGTGTAAAAGAGAAGTATAAAAATTTAAGTTTTAATATATAATTAAAATAGCTAAAAATATGTTAAGTACGACATGCAGTAAAATATTAGTGTACAAACTTTAGATAAGTAAATAAACTTGTATCTAATATAAAAATAATAATTTTTCACACACAAACTAATTCGAGACGATTCTAACTATAACAAATTCATAAGTCATAACAGACTAAAGAACAGGTTAAGCTTAGGACAAGTAACTAAGTTCAACTTTCAAGAAACCCAAATATTCGTCACCATCTCAATTATTTATTGTTAGCACATTAAAATGATATATATCAGTATCAACACTTGTTGCTTATGTAAAGTAACACAAATTCTAAAATAGAAGCATATGGACACAACCATATACTTGATTTCTCAATAATGAGGAATAGCCCATTGAAGAGACTCGGCTCTACGAGTAGTTCATCATGTTCAGTACTGTTAGTGATGGCAATGGGGCGGAATGGGTATAGAGACAAATAGTATTTTTGCCTCAAAAGATTAGTTACGGAGACTAATACAATAATTTTGTTTGATTATTTGTCTCTGTAGGTCGGTTTTATTGTAGTGTCAATATCCATGCCCTGCCCTATGCAATTGCAGGTTAGGGCGAGTCGACCCACTCTTATAAGTTAATTCAAAAATACACGTAAAATTTTACTTTTTACTATAAAACAAAGCGGAAAACACTTTATGAATGGAAAATAGTGATAATAGAATAGGTAGTTGCGTCTAACTAGTTGAAAGATCGAGTCTAACTAGTTGAAGAAAGTTCAAAGAGGAGAAATATGAATAGTATTGTAAGAAATTGAGATAGAATGGGCCAAGAATGAGGTGGGACGAGGCAGGCCAGGTCAGAAGATTGTACTCATGCCTCACCCCACATTACTGCGGGTTAGATAATACCCGCCTCATCGCGGGTCAGGTCGGGTAATATCCGCGAGACTAGTTCACATTGCCATCACTAAGTACCGTGTTGCATTTTACACGAAACCTTTGAAGGCTATATAGCCTAACCCTAATCATAATCAACAAAGTGACATAGGGTTATATTGGCTAATTACAAAGGAAGCACAAAAAGGAAGGAATAATACAAGTAATGACATGCACATGACTCTCCCATACACAACTAGGGATGGGGCGGGTTTTCCTAAACCATCCTCATCCCCGCTTTCAGATATTCAACCCCGTACCTACGCCATACCCATGGTTGGGGTCTGGAGGAGCGGGCATCGCCTGCGAGGCCAAATTCCTCATAATAGTTTTCATCATTCTCATGGGTATCCGAGTCATCACTATCTCCTGAGTCGTACAAAACCGATTAATTGTTTATACGGGTTAATGCGGGCTTTAAGAAAGCAATCGATCAGAGAATTACGAGAAATTTCTTGGTGATAAGATTCCTAGCTCTGGATACCCGGCCGTAACAACCCCTGGGGCACCTTTAGCAGATACGAGAATAGGTGGATATAGAAATGAATCGAAGTAGCTAGAACTGGAAGAACTTGAGGAACTTCCCAAATGACCGTACCGAGAAATTCTAACGTACTCCGTGCAGCTATTGTTGTTGATCCTGCCGAGCCTACCCAAAGGTTCAGGCCGGATTGTAGGAATTGGGCGATACGTTTTTGTATTTCTATGAGAAGCTCTACGAAATCTCTTTCGAAAGAAAGATATTTTGTCTCATGATAGCCTGCTCTAGTCCCCGAGGATCGCATTATATGGGGCATAGGCGATAAAGGCAAATTCACCTTACAATCGGCCTACAAACTTTTAGCTGAATTGGAAGATGGAGCAGCAGATCCTATTTGGAGGACTATATGGCGCTGGAAGGGTTCGAACAAGATAAAGCACTGAATGTGGCTCTGAAAGTTTTCTTTTCTTAGTTTAGTCACCCATACAGAAAGTAGCTAGGCTTCCTGGTGGTATGAAAGAAATAGATCTTAGTAAAGGATGGGAAAAAACGTCAGAATCCTCATCTTTTGTCCATAAGCTCTCCTCGCTATTGTAAAAATTGAAAAAGTCTTTTTATACACTAGTTCAGATGATTGCCCCTAAGGTTGTTTTTATTATAAGACTGTGATTGGATCCGCATATGTTTGGTAAAAAGAAGAATCTTTCCTTTTGAGAATAATCGAAAAAGGAAAGTCTACAATTGGAACATGAAAATGTAAATGAATTTGTCCTAGTTACTCTTCGGGAACACAACTTCTTACTATTTGAGCCAAAAGAATGCTATCCTAGGCCTCGACAATCTCTAGTTGAGTTTTTTCGTCTCTTTTGTCTTCTTCTCTTTTGTTCTCTTGTTTTTTTTTTCCTCTGTATAATTTGAAATTGTGAATTCCGTATTTTTACACATCCACGTTCTAAATTTTCTTTTCATCAGTTCGGGAAAAGATTTTGCAAACCCATCGCCATACCTGTAGGTTTCGGGTACCCATAGGTAATACTCGGCCCGTATATCAACCATCATTATACTCAAGACTTTACATGTAAATTTTCAATTATAACGCTAAACAAAACTACTATGTCGTTAAGTCAACAAAGATACAATCATTCTTAATACGGTTCAAATTGTATGATCCTAAAACATCTATTAATCAATAAGATAGAGTATAATATTTTCCAAATTATTAGTTTCCAACTCCGATACATCTACTAGGAAATAATTAACTAACATAATTATCTAGTTAACAGAAGGAAAAAGTGAAAGAATGAAGGAAAAATTGGCGTAAAAGAATTAGATTTGGATTTGGATGGCCACTCAATTGCATTTTTACTATATATTGTCTTAAGTTACCTTCACTCTCATTGATAGGTTTCAATTTAATCCCTGTATTTTTTATAAGTGAAGAAACATTCTTGGTAGGGCGGGTATGGGCATGGGGCGGGGGAGACCCAGCCCATACCCAGCCTATACCCATCAAACTTTTTGCGGGTTTTACCCATACCCGCGCCATACCCAGTAAATACGGAGATTCCTCGTGTGGACTGGATCAGTGGCGGTCGAGTATCCACGGTCGTGTGTTTGATTGCCATCCCTATACACAACAGAACCCGTGCATAATAATAGTCTGCTACACACAATAATTGGCTTAAAGACAAGTTTGAGGCACAGTTGACATCAGATTAATAATTATGCATAATTTGTCATACACTGCCTAAACATCAAATGTAGAAGGTGTTAAAATTTTCCCTATAAATTTTATCATGCTATGTATCTTTCATTTTAAGTCGTAATTAATTTTTTTAAAGATTAATTGTGTTTTTTAAAATGATATTCACTTTGATATATTTTGGAAATTTTTTTTTGAAATATTAGTACCCGTCTATACTATGGTGCTAATACTTGGTATTACATAAGAATATCATAACATATTGTATGAGAAGTGTATCATGGTGGTATGAGAGCGTATAATGGTTGGATACAGGATAGTAGGAATATATGAACTATCATTTACCACATACATCAATGTGTACCACCAGTTACCACCCCTATAACAAGGTGGTATAGAGTGGTACATTTTGGTTCTGTACTTTTTCCCCAAAAATTTGTAGATCCAATAGCACAATGAACTCATTTCATCTATGTAAATAATTTCAAAATTCAAGTTAAAAATGAAGGTGGTACCAGGTGGTAAGAATTTTTTTGTCGAAAAAATTAAAAATGGATCTCATTTTGTAGATCACAACTAGGGATGGCAACAAAACCCGAATCCACGGGTACCCTATCCGACCCAACCCGTGTTGACAGGTTTTGGACCGAGTTCGGGTTTAAGCCCGTTCACTATTCACCGGGTTGGGTTTTGGTTTAGGTATGCCGCTCCATAGAAACCCGGATATACCCATATAATTAATTTTCCCGATATATTTAATATTCTAAGCAACTAATCTTCTTTATGTTTGTGGAGACATGTCTATTTTTTTCTTTCTAATTGTGTAGAATGAAGTTGATATTATCCAGTGGAGAGTGAAAAAGTTTAATTGACAAGGGGGAAGAAGTTTCAATTAATCATGTTGTTTATAGATAATTTGTGATTCAATTCGATTTTGTTGAGTTTTCTATATTGGTGTTGAACAATTTGTATGATTAATTTGTTTTTTGCTTGGATTTTCTAGAATGGTGTTTTATATAATGGATAATTTGTATTGAGAGATTGATATTTGACTTTTATTTTGAAATAAACTTGTTATTGTAAAAATTTTACGACAAAAACCCATGGGTACCCATGAACCCGCGGATACCCAGTTGGTTGGGTTGGGTTTGAGTTTTCCAAACCCAGTGGGTTTTACCCGGAGTTTTTTTCAGGGATAAACCCATGAATTTGGGTTTGGGTTTAGCAAAATCCGACCCAACCCAACCCATTGTCATCCCTATTCACAACAAACTCGTTCCATATGTGCAAATTCTTTTGAAATCCAAATTAGAATGAAGAAGATAAGAGTAGATTAAGAAAACTAGATCAAAAGTTATTAATTCTCATCCTTAGATTTGGACCCTTCGAGCCCCACTCAAAAACTAATGGCCCAGATCTGGTTATGCACCCCATTGTAAGTTCATTTACTCGCATAAGGTGTGGTTTGGTGGTTGGATTTGGAGAATGATGGTTTGGTGATTTTCTTTGGATTTAAAGAGTTTGTTGTTTTCATGCTAGATTTAATGATATATTTATGATGAATTTGTTACATAAATCACTATTAAAGCTCCAAATCTCAACTCAAAATATGTAATTTATAAGTCCGTGGGTCCACGAATTTGGATCCAAAATAAAGATCAAATATAGGGAGCTCGCGGATTTAGTACCCATCAACAAATAGTAGACTTTGGATAAATCCATCAAGTTTGGAATTTAAGTACAAAATTCAACAAACAAATTATCATTAAATCTTGTTTTCAACATTAATTTTTCTCCTAACAAAATATGAAGACACCGACTTGACTTTTTTTAAAAAAATATTTTTAACCTTACTTATTTTTTGTATACGAAGATTTATCTCTTAGAAAACATTTTCCAAAATCCACATGAGATCCCCAATGAGCCCCGAAACCAATAATGGGGATCTGTAAACTGCCTGATACAGGAGAAAAGTGCAGTAATGGTGGTAGTGGGTGGGTGGCTTGGCTTCTAAACAAATGAATAAATAGTAGTAATGTAGGCAAAGCCAGAATGAAGGTTAATTTGCATATACGTACTCTTAATCGTGGGTTGTTTCTCCATCTCATTGCCATGTTAAACACTGCCTATAGTACAGAAGCATGAAAGCAGGCGGACCCAAGATTAAATTGATTATCCTCCGCTGCTGCCAGGGTCCCCCTTCCTTTTCCGGAGATGAGAAAGAAATGACAGAGCCCCATAAAAAGGAAAGAGATCAACCCCATAAGGCAACAACACCAAGGTTGTCAACCTGCCGGTAAATTCCCAATATTTTTTTTAATTTACTACCAATATGGTGGTTTTAAAAGTATGTACACGAATATTGTGTTTTGGAAAGAACACATATCGAAGCCCGCCCGAGAGTCAGGCGAAGACGCTTTATAAAAATTTTAGTTCAAAATTGAGCGATGGCGCCTGAGACTCCGTCATCTGCACGATTTTTTTGGTTTTCGTCAGCGTGAAAATTCCAAAAATCGTTGACCAGCAGAGGCGCCAGAGACTGAGGCGATGAAATTCCACTAGCAGGGGTGCCCGGGACTGAGGCGGGTTCGTTGCTTTACCCACAGCCACTCCAGCACTATAAACAAGCGATTTTCTTTCAGTTGCTCAACACAAAAAACCTATGTTACGAAGTTAGACGAGAAATCTCTGCTGGTTGCTGCAAAGATGACTAATAGGTGGGAGACACATTTATTTTTTAATTATATTCTTCAAATGCTATTATGATTTTATTTAGTTAGAAATTAGTGAGTTTGTTTTTTATGTAGTGATTTTAGAAGAATTGAACTAGTCGTTCGGTGGAAATCGGAGAAAGTAGAGGACAATTTGGGCGTCCATTTCGTTGGTGGTAGCAGTTTTCAGTTGACGGTTCCATCCAGGGTGACATATCACAAACTTTGTGAGAATATAATTCCGAGAATACGGCGTAAAGACGAAGCAGTACAAGATAGTGATGTGATCACAGGTTTCACTTACTGACTTCCAGAATGGCAGAATGATGTTTTATTTCATTATGCGATGCCTATTGTGGATGATGATAGCTTGAATGTGCTTTTCGATTTTATGACACAAAATCCTTATTGTTTGGGTGTTGAGATACATGTTGAGCTGGAGAGGAAGAAGATGAGACATGGAGCGTGCCATCCGATCATGATGACGGAGAGGAGGAAGATGGGGAAGGAGAGCAGCCTAATTATCCTCCATATTTTTACTTGCAGGGTAATGAAGAGGATGACGAATTATCATATGCTGACTTATATGGCGTAATTCCAATTGTTGCTGGTATTGAAGGAGAATTCTACAAGGGGTAGATATTTCACTCGAAACAAGCTGCACATGTGGAGATTAAATACCACGCACTACAGTGCAACTTTCATTATGTCGTGGTGGAGTCGTCACCTTCATTCTAGAAGGTCAGATGCTTGAAGCACAAGGATGACAATTGTCTTTGGATGGTGCGGTTTGGATGTCGAGATGTTGGAAGCGAATGCACTGTGAGAAAGGCCGAGTTGGTGCATTATTATAGCAGCACGAATCAATCGACGAATCATCACCATCTTGATGTAGACGTTATATCCGAGTCCGTGAAACATTTGGTACGTGCCCAACCAAATCTGAGTGTTCTAACTGTGTAGGCCGATTTGAAAGATAATTTTAATATGCAAGTTACTTACAAGAAGGCTTGGTATGGGAAACAAAGAGCATTGGAGAAGTTGCATGGAAATTGGGAAGAATCCTATGATTATTTGCAAACATTCTTGCGGGTGGTAAAGAGAAAAATGCCAATATCAGTGATTGATTGGGTAAGAGTTCCTTCATCGCAACCAGGTCATTTGATCTTTCAGGGAGTATTCTGGGCTTATAGACCTTGTATAGATGGATTCAAGAATTTTCCAGGAGTCATGGTTGTTGATGGAACATTTCTTACTGGAAAGTATAAAGGAGTGCTACTCATGGCGAGCTCATTTGATGGCCGAAAGAAGATTTTTCCAATTGCATTTGCCATAGTGGAGAGCGAGAATACTGATAGTTGGCCATGGTTCATAAGTCACGTTCTAAGTTTGACCGGTCAAAATGATGTCTGCATAATTTCAGATAGACATACAGGACTCTATGAAGCCATGAGTGACATCGGAAGAGGTTGGGAGTGGAGGTGGTGCATGCGACACTATGCAAGCAACTTGCAAAGTAAAACTAAAAGCAGAATTATGTATAACCAAATATTTCGAGTCGATAAGCCTTCTTCATCAGTATTGTTATTTATTTTAATGTATTATCTATTTTCATTTAATTTTGTCATGAATTTATCTAACTCATGTGGTTATTTATCTTGTTAGCCGAAAAAAAAACTCTGGGAGAAGTTTGATCGTCAAGTTGAGAAATTTAAGAAGATGACTGCTGATAGGAATATTTCATGTGATAACTGGATGGACCAAAATCAACTTCGTTGGAGTTTAGCACATGATAACTATAATGGTGGGCGTCGTTGGTCTATCCTGACATCCAACATGGCAAAGAGCATCAATGGTGTTTTCAAAGGTATTCGTTCACTTCCTATAGTTTCTTGTGCAACATACTTATTGGCAATTGTTGAAGAAATTCGATAAGATGAGGTTGGAGACAGAAGCACAAATCAGAAGTGGTCATTCATAGTACACCAAACCATGCGAAGAGCTGATGAAGCCGTGGTTACAAAAGGCAATTGAAAATTTCGTGACGGGGGTTGATCGACTTCAAGGCATCTATGTAGTTCAGAATCCTCCCAACAATTTCAACATGACGGGTTCGAACACACTCACAGTGCACTTCGACGACAACAATCAGGCGGGATTTTGCACTTGTGGGAAATTTCAAGGAAATAAAATTCCTTGCTCGCATGCCATTGCATTTGCAACCGAATTGGGGCTAACCTGTATAGGTTTGTAAACTACATCTACAAGCTTGAAACAGTGTTTGCTGGTTATAGGACAAGTTTCACACCCCTTGGTGAACCTAAGGGTTGGAAGAAGCATGATGGCCCTACTCTCCATCCTAATGTGCACATGATTAGGAAGCCGGGGAGGCCACGATCAACAAGAATTCACAACGAGAGGGATTGGCCAAGAGAGGGTGTAGCGCAACAAGTGTGTAGGAGCTGTAACCAATCTGGACATAATGCATCAACTTGTGGTGGCCAAACAAGTGGCAGTGGGAGCCAGCGAAGAGGAAGTGGTGGCCAATGGCGTGCGATAGGTGGTAAAAGAGGAAGTAGTGGTAATAGACATGGTATGTAGTGTGGAACTTTTATAAAATGTAGTACTTGTTGTTTTTCTTTCCAAGTAGTTGATATTGTTTGATGTTGTTATGGTTCGAAAAAGTTGTATGTAACTTTCGATTTTCCTTTGCAGAAGTTGTTGTTGTTGGCACTTTTCTAAAATGTCTTGTTTGTGTTTTTATAGTTAAAGTTTTCATTTTAGACAATAGCACTATACATGACTGATAATAATTACATAATACATAATAGTAACATAATTCATCATGAAATTAAAAATAGTCCACATAGTAGTCCACATAAATAATCCATATAAGTACATAATAATAACATAAACATAATAGTCTGATTAACGACCACCATGACGACCACCACGCCTTGGTGCCCGCCTGTTCCGTGAAGGCCTGCCATCATCGTGCTGGGGCTGATCTCCCTCCATTGTATCATCCTAATCCTGTGTACCGAACATATCATCCACCTTGAGACTGAATCTGCTGCTCTGGTGCCCCCGCCACCACACACCCCTGCCTGAAGCTGCTGCTCATAAGACCACATTGTATTTTGAAAAGTAGTATACCCCTCTAGATGGTCCAACGGGTCTGACTGCGTGCCTGATATAGTATCACTACCTGAGGCCATGTATCTCCTCCTATCAAAGTATGTTGCGGTTTATGGAAGCTATCGTCTGGTGGCTGAAAGCTCGAAGAAGACCCTGAGTGAAACTGCGATTGATAAGGCCGTGAGTGAAACTGCGGCCAGAACTGGAAGGTCATAGTAGGTCGGATGGGCTGTGTTCGCTGACGATAAGAAATCCTCACGGGAGGAGGTACATCACGCTGCTCACGTTGCTGTCTACGCCTCCTGGGCTCCTGCGTGAACTATGACGCTGGCACGCCCAAACCGCTGTCAGAGTCTTACGCTCTGGCCAACTTTCTAGGCTGTGCTCATCAGCAGGATACTGTTGTACAAGCACTGTCACATCCAGATGTCGGCGCTCACCCAAACCAAAAGCAGCACCTTGCTGCCATCATGTCATCCAACTCCTCCATCCGGTCGATGGACATACCTCCATCCCGTACTATATCACGTAAACTCAGCTCAACATACTCCATAGTGTCGTACTGATAATTAAATTCAAAATATCAAAGATTTTACACAACTACGAATTTCAAAACAAATAAAACAAAAATATGAAACAATCAATAACTAACCGCTGCATTCATTGCAGCTCCTCTCCGTGTGCCTGAACGTCTGGTAACATCTCGATACCACTCTAGATGCTCGAGTGGTAGGCTAAAGAGACGTCACTGTAGCTCATACGCGCGATGAACTCATGTCGACGGTTCCACAAATCAAGCGACTCACTGGCAGCGTGTATCAACTATTGCCCACGCGATGGCCCATGTTGTGAGTGGCGTAGTAAAAACCTAATCTCAGCCGCGGGATGTGGCCGATGAGGCTCATCCTGCATCATGCCAAACTGTCGGAGCACGCGATCTAGATGGTGCCACATCACTGTTGTAAAGCATATTAGTGGAACTACTGCTCGAAACGTATCAGACTGGATCACACTATCTATGAGGTGCTGGGCTCTCTCAAAGTAAGGACGCCACTACACACAAAAAAGTGGTCAACGTGCTGACGAGTCAGTGCTGGAAGCCATCGAACACCACGTGGTAGTGCGTCCTCGGAATCTGCACTCCCGTCTCTGTATGTAGTGGTATTGTATGTGGAAATTGCTCCCATGCCCAGAGCTGCAGTAAAGTGGCCCATCCACCAAGGTCACCACCTAGGGAAGACGATTGCGTCATGTGCAGCACTGACCTACCTATCTCACGGTACAGGTAGGATAACACAGCTGCTCCCCGGGCGAACCTCCCAGCTCTGTGCAAATCCTCCACCAAGAGTAGGTACTGTAGATGAACTGTAGCTCCACATCGATCGGGGAACAGTACACCTCCCATCAGAGATTGAGCATAAGCTCGTGCAAACTGCTCTGTAGTCTCTGTGATGCATCTGCCGGCAGATGATCGAATGTATCCTTGAGCCAACCAATCCTAACGGGACCGCCGGAAAGATCACTAGGAGCCCGTCCTAACAGTCGAACACTCATCTCCGACTAGTCCTCGTCTGGTATGTCTACTATGATGACATCACCATCGATCGCTAGACCGGTCAGTGTCGCAACGTCCTCTAAAGTGATCATCACCTCACCAAACGACAAGTGGAAGGTCGATGACTCGGGTTGCCAACGCTCTACGAGCGCAGTAATCAAACCCGCATCAGCAGTCATAGAGACCAATTGCTGAACAATAAACAAGCCCGCCTCGACGAGGTACGTCTCATAATGTCGATGGTACCTGACTAAATTGGTTGTACTTCGAATACGATAAGGTCGATCACTAGCCTATATTGCAACAAATTTATATTAATTCAATTTCATGCGTACTTCTAATTTCAGTTCACCTTGTCAAATATATATAATCTAAACATCTATCTAACTAAACTTATACTAATTTCAACATATTTCATGTGTAATTCTATTCTAATTTCAGGTCAGTTCACCTAGTAAAAATCTAGAATAGTCTAATCTAACTAGCTATAGAAGTAGTTGAAAGACTCACCACGTTTGCCCAAACTAAGTCAATACGATGGTGACCATGTCCCCACAGAAGTACTGGATCCACCGGAGCTGTATCAATCGTCGTAGGTGGTGGTCTCATGGAATAACTTTCCATAAGCATAGGGATTGAAAAAACTAAAAAAAAATAAAAATCAAAACATATAAACTCAATTACAGAAGAAAAAAAAACCCGCCGCCGGCGAAAACCTCATCTCGGTAGTGGTCGCCGCAACCTCGACCTCGCCGCCCTCTCTCCCTTTCTCTGCCATGTACAGGTTCCTTGTCGTCGGACATCTTCTCCCCCCAAAACCACCAGATCTGCTGCGCGAGAGGAAGGAAGGATGCGGTGGTCGCCCTGTCTCCGGCGTGTTCGCTTGGGACTAAGGCGAGGCAGCCCCTGTCTCAGGCGTGCCTGCTTGAGGCGATGGCGAAGCCGCCTTTGCTTCAGGCGCCGATGCTAGGGTTCGAGCGGGTCCACTGCGGAGGAGATTCTACGGTGGTGGTGGCTGTGTGGTTTGAAGAAGAAGAAGAAGAAGAAGAAGAAGAAGAAGAAGAAGAAGAAGAAGAAGAAGAAGAAGATAAGATAAGATAAGATAAGATAAGTGGGATGTGTTTGAGGAAAAATATAAAAAAGAAGGGAAGACGCGTATGCCTGGGTCTCGGGCGTCTCCCCTTTTTTAAATACCCGCCTGAGACTCGGGCGGATCCGCTCGAGTTCACTCTTAAATGGCTAAAATGCGGCTCCGCCTGGGACTCAGGCGGCACGCGGTTATTCCCCACAAAAAACAATATTTGTGTCAATACATTTGAAACGCCATATTGGTGGTAAATTAAAAAAAAACAATATTTTTGGAATTAACCCTCAACTTGCAAACTGACCAGTCGGTCGCCCAAAATTAAAAACCGTTTTAGATATGAAATTGATGTTCTAATCAAGCGACAAAATTCAATTGAGAGCTGGGGTGGACCTAGTCAAATTTAGAGAAATTAACCGGTTTGACCGACTGATTCCAGCCGTAAGAATTATTTCAAAACAAGCAAGAAATACTGAGTATTGAACCCTTTGACCTCTAGATAATATTGTTAAATCAGTCTATATCTTTGTATTGATAAGAAAAGTGGTGTAGTCCGACCAGTGGTACAACTGGTTACTCTAGTTCATACAAATTTTAGCAAAGCATATAGAAAAGTGGAAGTCTTTACACTAAATAAATTTAGACACATATTAACATTTTCGGAGGTAATCTTTCTCAAATCTAAATCCATGTTTAAATAAAATACAACATTTCAAACATTATAAAAATCTTCATATTTAAATTCAATAATATATTGAACGCCAATATAAAAAAATTTAGACTTGAATGTAACAAATAACATAAACATCTAAACTTTCATACTTGAATCCAATAAATAACGTCAACATTTAACTTTCAGATTCAAGAAACAAATAAAAAATCAGTCTTTCGCTAAAACGGGGTCATTTTGTTTAAAGATCGGAAATCAGTCATGTTGAAGACATTCACTTGTAACCAATACCATTGAAATTGATTATACCGGCCGATATCCCACCGGTTTGACAAACTTTATTCAAGGTCAAAGACCAACAGTTTCACCACTACATTCACCACTCCATTACAATGAAGATGTTCATTTGTGCTTATGTCAAACAATATCCTCTCAAGAAAAACGAGTACTATGATTTTTATATTTGAAATCTAAGGGGTCGTTTGCTTCATGGATTTGGTACCCAAATCCAATCCATCATGGATTTAACAAAAATCCATTGTTTGCTTGCACTTTTTTTGGAGACCAAATCCGTGGGGCCCAAGGATTTTAAGGGTCCAAATCCGTGGACCCCACAGACTTATAAATCCCACATGTCGATGTGGGATTTGGAACATGGCATAAATCCTTGATGGGATGTTACCCATATACCCTCATGCATTTTTAATATTCCAAGGTTGCCCTCAAATTTAACTATTATACATTATAATTAATCAAGTAATTAACAATGAATGAATAATATAAACATTCAATTAATGTGCAAACATGAGTTAGATTTTTTATATCATTTCTTGTGTTCTAGTTTTCATTGACCTTTTCATTGAACGTGTAATTCTTTGTTCTCCCGATTCTAATATATATGTTGTTATATGTTACTTTTGAAAAGGAGGACTAAGAATTGGTAATTGATTATGTTACGTTAACAGTTAAACGAAATTTTCTCGTTTATTATTATTGTCCATGTGGCAACATTATGTTTATTAGTATGTATTGTCTTTCTTTTGTGTACATATCATAAACATGTCAAACATATAGAAAAGGATAGTAAGGTAATTTTGAAGTTTTGTCTTTGCTTTGTATACATATCATAAACATGTCAAACATATATAGAAAAGGATTCGACCCTGCAGACCTGACTTCTTCGCCGGCGCCGGCGCCGGCAGCAATTGGAGGCGACCCGACGAACATACTCGATGTATCCTTAAAACCGAGGTAATGGAGCACGTAGAGCTCCGGCGGGTCCGACCCGAACCGGCCGTTCTTCTTCCTTTTGACCTCTTCATCGTCGACGATCCAGAAGTGCTTTAGGAAGTTGAGCCGGCGAGGGATTCGATGCCATCAAGTAAAGGTCCTCTTCTAGTCTCCAAACGTTCAACGCGGATGGGCCAGTTTAATTTGGACGAGATCTAAAGATGCCGTTTTGGCTTTCGAGGTGATTATTCCCTCTGATTACGACGTATATCGTTAGATTTTCCTCACTGTCGGCGCAGTGTGGTTGTTCCCCTGTGAACTTTGGAACGGCGGGGATGCCTTGGTTGCAGGGTTGTCGCCGGTGGGAGTTCCTCTGCTCATCTATTTCTTCATTTTCTTTATGGAACCAATGCATTCGGACGGTGGCTTCAAAAAGTCTCTCAGAAAGTCTTCTTTTATAGACTACTTCTACCAACGTTGCTAGTTGGGACGAACCCTCGTCGATCGAAAGGCTCTGGCCTTTCAAGTTCTCATGGTCGGAGTTCACCGAGGGTGGCCGACGAGATGAAGTTGATAGGGTCGGAGCCAGCTCTGGTGGCTTTCGCTGCCTTTGGCCGTTTCAAACGATGACATCAATGATTGTTTTTATGAAATTAATTAACAAATTAATGGTGGGTTTAATTCTCCTTATGACCTGCCACCAATTAAACTTTCCGTTAGTTTTTGAGACTTTATAAGAACTTTTATTGTGGTTTGGCTTTTATTGATTGTTAGCCATAACCCTTTGTATTGTGGGATCCGATGTGGTTTTAATTTTTAAACAAGCGATTTTTGGAAGCATCAATCGAATCAAACCCTACGTGGGGATGGAGAAGTCTACTCTTTGAAAGAGACCTGCTCCTACAGGGATTAAGATTACAAATAGAAGATGGGCAAAGAACTCGGACATTCATTGATAACTGGGTTCCAGGGGATAAACCCTTAACCCCGAGTACCCGGCCCCATACTCATAATGGATCACCTATGGTATCTTATTTCATAAAAAAAGGCCAAGGGGAATGGGACGTACCAAAACTCCAGACTTGCTTTGAACCTTAATCTGTTCATCTCATCAGGAGAATTCCTCTTCCTCGTTACTCACAGCAAGACATTAGAGTGTGCACTATTCCAAGGATGAAAAATACACAGTCAAATCGGGTTATCACTTAGCTCTGGAAATATAATTGGCATCAAGCCGAAACCGATAGTACATATCATCGACCCTCTTATTTGGAAAAAAACTTGGAATATCCAAGTCCCGCCTAAGCTCAAATTCTTCATATGCAATGCCTCAAAGTCATACTTCCCACAGTAGCGGCCCTTCAAACTCGTTGAGTAAACTGCCTTAACCGATGCCCTGTCTGCTGGAGACATCGAGAAAGCATTGAACATTTATTCTTCAGATGCCCCCTAGCCATCAGATTGTGGACTTTAGTGGGATTGAGCAACTTTATTGAGAACGCCCAGACTGTTAACTTTAGTCTATGGTGGCGACATGTCATGGTCTCTGAGACCTCCCCATTCCACATTCTCCAATGCGTCTGTTTACTTTGGAGAATCTGGAAGTCTAGTAATAAAGTGACCTTCGAATTTTTCCAACCTCATGTCCGTTCCCTAGCCAGACATTTCTACAACCAGGTCCTCGAAGTCTTCAATCTTCTCCTTCCTCCTCCATCCCGCAGATCTATACTCCCAATCCATCCTGCCACCACTTGGGTCCCTCCGCCAGAAGACTTTGTGAAGTTCAACTTCGACGCTGCTGTTTGTGCCACCGGGTGTTCGTCTAGGCTTGTTTTCCGTGGGTCAGACGGGCATGTGGTGTTGGCGTTCGGGCTGCAGCATCAAGGAATAGGCAATCCTTACCTGGCAGAGCTTCTAGCCTTTAGAGACGCTTTCTCCATCGTAGCCTCAAGATCCTTGACCCGCGTGAGTCGAAGGTGATTCCGAAGTGGTCGTCAACCAAGTCCGTCAAGGCGTCATAGAAGACTCAATTGGTGGTCCGGTGTTACGAGAGTGTCATCAAATCCTTAGCTCTTTGTCTGTTTGTATAGAGTTTAGAGCGGTACCTAGGTCCGCCAACAGTGCTGCCCATAGAGTGGCGCGTAAGGCACTGCTTTTGTCTCGTTTAGAGCTAGAATCTTTTGATTTTTTGGGTGGCTTCTTTAGAGTCTTTTAGGGGTCCTGGGTAGAATTGTAAGTTTAACTATTTTACTTCATTGATATCACTCAGAAATAAGAAAATATATAGAAAAGGATAGTAATGTAATTTTAGACTTCAAGATAGAAATCCCACACCTTTAAATCCATGATAAAAACATCTCAACAAACAAAGGATTGTTACAAATCCATGATGCCTTAAATCCTTGATAAATCCTTGGATTTTTAAATTACAAAACCCTCGTTTTTAAATCCATGAAGCAAACGACCCCTAAGTTTGAATATTTGAATGTTCTGCAATATATTGGATTTAAGGGGAGTTCTATGGTATCCAAGGTGTACCGCATACCTTGAGTAAGAAAAAGTTATCAAGAACTTGAATTGACTGATCTTTCGGACATGATACTATACTCTAACCTTAAAGATCAAAATCTAGGCCTTAATTCTCTAAATCTTATACCCCAAGATCAATTTAATTAGAAACAATAATCGACGGTTATGATTCATCCAAATATAGACAAAAAAATCAATGCACCATCTTAGGGTTTGTAGTTTATGATTTAGATAATTAGAACCTAAGCTTCACTCATTAAGGGTTAGAGTATAGTATCATGCCCAAAAATCCTGCTAATTCAAGGTCTAGATAGCGTTTTCATACTCAAGTTATGCGGTACCCCGGATTTCACCCGGGGTACCGTAGAAGGCACCTGGATTTAAATATGTTAGATATTTTTACTATATGTTCGATTTGGACGATGAATTTATATGTTGTATTCAAGTATGGACATTTGTCAATTTGGTGTCATGCTATGTTGGAAGATGATCGAGACTTGAAATAACTTATATATATGCACAATACATTTAACATTAATGGCTTTTTCCACATATATCCCGAGTAAACTCAGCTAAACTAATTCAACCACTAACCATTAACCCACCTTCTCGACCAAACCAACGGTAGGAACTAAAAATATAACCTTGTACAACACTTATAGGACATTGGAACTGGCGCATAGCAACGAGCAATTTTGATGACCTTTACTCTTTCTTTCCCCTAAAAAGGCACCAACTACTGTAATAACTAATGATAATCTTCAGTCCAATTAGTGACATCTAATATGAAATCGATATGCTTCTAATTAAGTATACTAAATCAACGCACATAAGTATACTTTTTCGGTACATAATCCTTGTTTATGCTCCAACAAACTCATACTCCACCTACAACATTCTATATCCATCAATGCTATGTGTAGTGTGTTGTATAACTATTCTTCTTTCTAACCGTAGAACACTTCTAAACCAAACTAACCATGAAACCATTATAAAGGGCCAGAAACAGAACTACTGCAACTACCTCGTTTGATTGGAAAAACAACCAAAGAATCAAACAGCCTTGTACCAAAGAAAGAATCAAACAGCTAGCTAGCTAGCTAGCTGCCATGGTGAAGATAATAGCACGTGGAGTAGTATACACCCTCCATGAACCTCACAAAGCCCTAAAAAATTCTTCCCCCATTGAAGATATGTCTCACCTCTCAATTGGCCAACTTCTTCCCCTTTCCCAGAATAAAACAAAAACAATTGTTAAATGAAGTATTTTACAAGGATCCAGAGCATGTTCACGAACCCATCTCACATGCTCTCTCTGAAAACTCTGAACCTTCCCTCTCTGCCACATACCTACACTATCATACAAAACCATCGTCTCCACTTCCTATTCCTACGATCCATCATCATCTCTCTCACTCACTCAAAGCTTTTTCCCATATGGCAAGTGGCTTAACCGGTAGCTTCCTTTCTACTTCTTCAACTTACTTTCACCTCAATTCATGTGGGTTCCTTTTCCTTGAGCTATTCATCCAAACAGGTGGGCAATAAGCTGCAATTTAAAGCTTTTGGGTAGTAGCAGTAGTATGGTGGACCATTTATTATGGTATTGATAGCTACTCATCAGAAAAATTGGAAATCATGGAGAAAAGTAGATTGCTTTGCTTTCCTCTTATTATAGTCCATGTTTGCTGATGTGATTGTTTCTCTCCATCCATAGCAGCTTAGTGAGATTTCCAATTGGCAAAGATGGGGAAGAGGGGGAAATGGCTGAAGAATTTATTGACCGGGAAGAAAGACAAGGATAAGGAGAAGCAGAGAGGTAATTTTGACAATGGAGAGAAGGAGAGAGGTGTTATTAGTTGTCAGGAATCTACTGGTAATGGTGTTGAGAATCCAGCCACCACTCCAATTTGTCATCCACCGACTACTCCCAAGGAGAAGCGGAGATGGAGTTTCAGGAGGTCATCCGCCACAGGGATGGCCAATCCGGGAGATCAGGCATCACCTTCTGCCGCCGCTGCCACACCGCCGGCTCAATTGGTTCCCGAGGATGATCAGAAGAAGCACGCCATGGCCATGGCTGCAGCCACAACTGCTGCAGCAGACGCAGCAGTGGCTGCTGCCGAGGCTGCAGCTGCTGTCATCCGGCTGACTGCCGAGAGGAACAGCGCAATTGAAGAGGCTGCCGCTGTTATGATTCAATCCGTGTTCCGATCTTACTTGGTAAGGGAATCAAAACTGAATACCGTGAATTGAATTTCATTTTCCCCCAATTTCAATGCTTACAGTAGAATGAATGAGTACAGGCAAGGAAGGCACTGCGGGCATTGAAGGGATTGGTGAAGCTGCAGGCCCTGGTGAGAGGCCATCTGGTGAGGAAACAGGCCACTGCCACGCTCCGCTGTATGCAGGCACTCGTGGCGCTCCAGGCCAAAGCCTTAGCTCAGAGGATTAGAACGTCGGAGGACGGGAAGCCACCCGTCAGTGGCGGGCAGAGGCCGTACTCTTCGCACAGGAGATCGACCCAAGAGAATCGATACAGACCCGCTAATTATGTGAGTAAATCGCCTGCATTCCCTCTTTTTCCCCTGTTTTTGTTGTGGAGCGGAAAGTTTGATTTGTCCTCCTCTCTGCAATTACCAGGATTCCGACAGAGGCGGCATGGAGGAGAACATCAAGATCGTGGAAATGGATCTGGGAGCTTCGAAGGGAAGCACCAAGAGCAGGAACAGCTACTCCTCCTACACCCCGCCGCAACCCGAGAGAGCAGATCGCAGATTCTCCAGTAATTTCGCGCAATCGGATCTCCAGGAGATGAGCCCTAGAGCCTGCAGCGGCCATTTCGAGGACTACTCGTTCGGCACCGCGCAGAGCAGCCCGCAGAACTACTACTCCTCTACGCCGAAACCCGACCTCCCGCCGTTCGCGTTCCCCCGACCCGATTACCCGGAATCGATGCCGTACGATTGCAATCAGTTCCCGAGCTACATGGCGAACACGGAGAGCTCGAGGCGAAAGGTCCGGTCCCAGAGCGCGCCCAAGACCCGGCCGCCGGACTCGTACGAGCGGCAGCCGAGCGCTACCCGTCGGCGGGCGTCGCTGGAAGGGAGGAACGTCCCGCGCGCGGTGCGGATGCAGCGGTCGTCGTCGCACGTCGGCGCCGCCGGGCAGAATTACCAGTTCCCGTGGGCGATTAAGCTCGACAGGTCGTCGGTTTCGCTGCAGGACAGCGAGTGTGGATCTTCTAGTACCGTGCTTACCAATACCAATTACTGTAGATCTCTTGTTGGATTTGATGTGAGTATTTTAAGCAGAGAACACTAATGGATTTTGACTCCTTATTTGCTATCAAGCTCTGAGTTAATTATGATGATTTTATTTGTCTAATGTTTGATGATGCAGATTCAGAAGCATAGATAGGAATGAAGGATATGCGGTTTTCGTTACGATGCATATGGAGATTGGCTGGCGCGTATTTTATATGTGCTTACGTTGTTGAATTGTATGTTCCATCATCATCGTGTATTGTAAGTGACCACCTTTGTGTGCCTAATAACCGGATTGAAATTAAGAAAAGTATAGTGACGCCGAAGGTGTGGTTATTGTTTTCTTTGCTACATGTTTGTGTGTATAAACTGTAGAGCTAAGAGCTCTTTTCTTCTAGTGGGTTGGTTGTTGTTGTAATCTTTTACTAGGTTTTCTTTTCCGCGCTCTGGGATGGGTGTGCTAATTATTATTAGTTAGTTATTATTAGTATATTAAAGCCGCAAGTATGCGGCACTATAGCATACGAAATTATAGGCAATTATTATCTTTTAACAGGTAATTAGTATATTCTTTACCAAATGTACTGTTCATGAGAGGTATTTATCCCCTACATCCAATTTTATCACAAGCTTTTTATTATTTGCATTACATTAAGGTTTTTAAAGTTAGTTTTTTTTACAAAATCGTTTACAAATATCAACATTATTTTATTTATCTCCCACATCCAATTTTATCATAAGCTTTTTATTATTTGCATTACATTAAAGTTTTTAAGGTTAGTTTTTTTACAAAACCGTTTACAAATATCAACATTATTTTACTTTAATAGGAAATTAGTATATTTTTTTACCACGTTTACTATTCATGAGATGTATTTATCTCCTACATCCAATTTTATCATAAGCTTTTTATTATTTGCATTACATTAAGGTTTTTAAGGTTAGTTTTTTTACAAAACCGTTTACAAATATCAACATTATTTCTCTATATCAATTAAGTAATTAAAAATATATTATATAAAGCTTACAAATTCAGCATTATTTCTCTATTATTTGCATTATACCAAAATTTTGTAAGCTAATTTTTTTTATATAACAATTTTATCAAATTGGACAATTCTGTTTACTTGACTTCGCCACTGGATAACACAGTACGAAAGATTTGTGTAACAGTATTCTATAAAAGTCATGTAATTAAAAATGCTCCTAATTTCATCATAAACTTTTTATCATTAGATCACATAGTACAAAAGATTTTTGCATCTACCACTATTCTTAATTACAAATATATTATATAAAGCCCACAAATTCAACATTATTTCTTCACAATTTGTTATTTTTGTTAGGTTAGTTATTTTTTACATAACAAATTAATCTAATTTGATATTGTTTTTAGTTGACTTCACCATTGGACCACACCGTACGAAAAGATTTTTGTAACACTATTCTATAAAAATTATGTAATTAAAAATATATTATATAAAGCTCTCAAATATTCTTTAAGGTAAGTTATATATCACATAAACAAACATATGGTCTATGTATTTCATAATGATTAAGACATTACATAAAACTTATGGAACAACCCTACTATGATAATTTTGTGAATTATTTAATTTCAGCTGAATCATTAAATAAATGAATGAACTTTTAAATATAATTAGTTTCTTACCGCTGCGAAGCGCGGGTTAAAAACTAGTTATTATTAGAATAATTAAGACACGAGATTATCACTGTTTCATACGACAAATACGGGCTTACCTATTTAAGCCCGAATTACTGTTCATAACCGTTCATTTATAGTCCCCTGCGGCCATGTGTATTTTACCTAATACAAAACCCTTGGCCACTGACCGAGCATCTCAGTTTTTAATTATTCGCTCTCTTTATACAGTGGGTGGTAAATTTTTAAATTATTCACTCTCTTTATACAGAGGGTTGTACAAAAGTGTTGTTCGTTGGGCCAGCCAAGTATACCGTATACGATCTCTTCTTTCTTTCTCATTATTTAATTTCCAGCCCTAACTTTCTTCCTCCTTCCCGATCCATAAAATATGGACTAAACATATAATGAAATTCTCCAGATACCCTTCTTCCAAAACTCCGTATCTCTTTTAGCAAGAGAAGAATTAGTTGACGGCTTGAGGCGAGAGGTGGCAATTTCAATCCAATCTACCAATCCAATCCATCAATTCATTAAAAATATCCACATAATCCAATTCATTTAAATCCAATCCATTTGATCCAAATCTAATTGGATTGGTGGATTCATGGATTGGATCCATGGATCATTGGTAAATTACGGTTTAGTACCTATAATTTTTATTTTTTACATTTTGGTACCTAAAATTTCATTTTTTATACAAAAAATATCTTTTGAAAATTACGTTTTGGTAATTTATGTATATATTGATTAATATTAGTGTTTAATGTTAATATTGTCAAGCTAGAAACTAAAGGTGTGTTTAATGGAAACTAAAGTACAGGTAGATGCGAATTTGGATATAGAAGGAAATATGGCTGACTCTTGACTCTTGACTCTTGAGTAGTGTCTGAATAGAGTAGTATCTGAAATCAAACTACACCATCAAAACCAAACATGCTAAATATGGTTATTACGAATTACCACTTTGTTCTAATATTGCTAATGCATAAGTTATGTAAGGTAATAGTTAGATTTTACATAGTAGTTTAATCAAATGTGAAACGGTACATAATTTTATTTTTTATATAGTATTTTAATCAAATGTGACATTGTACATAATTTTATATTATTAGACCACACATTATGGAAGATTTATATAACAATATCATATAAAAATTACGTAATTATAAATACATTATATAAAACCTACAGGGATAGTTATTTCATATGTGTCGATATGTAAGTCTTCCATAATATGAGTTTCAATGAAATTCCCAAATTTTAATTGAATTGTTGGTCATCTCATCAATTTTCATTACATAAAGGTTTTGTAAGGTTATTTCAAATGTATCAATTAAAAAAAATTATTATGTATGTCTTCCACAATAATTAAGACCTTATGTAAAGCTTATAAAAGTATTTTACCCGAATATTTTATGAATTATTTAATTCAACTAAATCGATAAATGGGTAAATAAAATTATAAATGTAATAAGTTTCGCACCGCGACGACGAAGCGCGGGCAAAAGAACTAGTTTAATTATTATAGTTCAATTTTATGGATGCCTACTCAAATAAATGAATATGATCAATCAGTTTATCTAATAAGAAATTCTTAATCAAGATGCGAATTTTAACACTACCCAAATTCAATGGGCGAGCATCGAAGCTTGAATCGGAGGTTATACGGTTATGAATATATAACAAAAGTTTCGTACCTAATTTGAATAGAAAAGTTTGAACTTAATATTCTTTTTTTGGCAGCTTGATCGTATACTCACTCAAATGAATGGGAAATGTCAATAAAAGGTGTTAATGGTTAACTGGGCCAATGCTGCTCACGGGCTTTCATTGGTCAATTTCTAAGCTTGACCTAATAAATAACTTAGAGCCCTTGTAGCCATCGATCAAAGTTTGTTCTCCAACTAATTAACTATGAAATTGGCAAGAACATGCGAGCCAGAGTACATATTACATAATTCAAAGTACGCATATCTATGTATCTGCTTCCAATTCCAAAATTTAGATGCGCGCACACGTAATATTAGCATACCTGAAAAGATTAACAGTAAAATGCCTATCAGCAGACTTATATTCTTGAAATTGTACTGGACATAGCATTGAGATTTGGGAGCATCAGTGTATAAAGTATTAGATCCTTGGAAGTTGGAACCGCTACCGATGTAGGAAAAAAGGCCATATAGCAGTAGTTTCTAGGAAAAGAAAAATGCGTATATTATGGATCAGCTACAATCAAAAGTACTATTGGTCAATTGATTTTGACGGAAAGATGCTACTGCTAATAGATTGAAAAATGAACTAAGGAATATCCTAGACATTAGGAAACTAACAAAAACTACAAATTAGTAGGAATAAGGGGAAAAATGAAAAGAGTTTGTAAAGAAAAAGAAACAGATAATTTGACCACTCCCTATCAAAGTCTCGAAGTCAAGAAGAAATAGTTATAGTTAAGTGAATAAAATGCAGTGTAAGAACTTTTCATAGAAAATAACATTTATGGTGAATGGATGAGAAGTCGATGAACCTAGATTCATAGAAAATGCAGTGTAATAACATTTATGGTGAATGGATGAGAGATCCCGGTCAGCGCGAAGACCGTGATCTCCGCGTGGGGCGATTCTTTGAACGCCGATTGAACCAGGTCGTCGGTGGCGATTCCCGCAGCGGTGGTGATGGACACGCTCTGTGGCAGCTCCTGGAGATCGCTTTACTTGGCGGCACTCTTCGCTTGAGTGATGTTGCTCCAGCTAACGATTTGATCGATCCTTGATTTGCATTGTCCCGAGAACAACTCTTGAGCACGAAAATTTGTTGTTTTCAATTCTTCTGTTACTATGTTAACATCAGTGGTTGTACGCTATAAATGCAACATATATAATGAGAGAGAATATTATGATAAACAAAAAAGGTTTGTTGGAGGACCTAAACCTCATGCCGCAAGATAACTCTGAAGTCATGTGTTATCATCGTCAAGCAAGAATTAAAGGCCACATGTACGTTTAAATGATTATGATTAACTTTTAAGAAATTAAGTTTATAAATAAATCAGTATATAATTAACATCCATGAATGACTATATAGAAGTTCCCTCACATCACATGAATTCGACTATATTTTCTAATGTGGTGGCGTTCCGTTATACAAATAATCCAAAATCATTGAATGCACATTTGATAACTAATTAGAAACAACTAGTATTCAAGCAGTATAAATCTCAACATACCCAATTATATTTGACCACATAAGAACATAACCCCACACCCAAACATCGCCAACAGGATTGCAATTCACATGTGATCCAAGGTCAACTGGTCCGGCCACTCGATCGAGGTGCAGTCGGTGTGGAGTACTGTGGGCAGTGGAATGACCTCCCATCCCATCCCATCCCATCAAGCGGTCAAAAGAATCTGATCTCCTCTATGAACAAACCCCCACGTGTTGATCCTGTCCTATTCCTGCCTAACACAATCGTTTTTCCCCTTCCTTCCACTTCACTATATAAACCGCCATGCATTCTCCCTCTCCCTCCAACATTAATCACCATTGCCATCTCAATTCTCAACATTCCTCCAAAATTCCTGCATCTTTCTCTCTTTCCTTGGATCCCTTTAATCAATCATTTCTTGTACTAGCTTGGTAATTAAACTCTCTTTTTTCGTCAAGGGGAAAAAAGGCGGGCCAGGAATCTTCATACTGAAAACCAGCAATATAATACAACCACTCGGCCAACGAACACAGAGTTTGTGACTCTTTGTGGGAACAAGAACGTAGCTGAAGAATTAATGAGGACGACGTTTGATGATGACGGAAGCCGCCAACCCCACCGTGTGGCCATCCCGCCGGCGAAACCACTCGCTTAAAACCAACCTGAAGGAAACCCTCTTCCCCGACCATCCTTTAGGGAGCTCATGAAGCAGCCGTGCGCTTCAAGAAAGCTGCTGCGCGCTTGGGCTGCAGTACTTCATCCCGATCATGGAGTGGGCGCCGCCGCGCTAGAGCTTCGCCGTCTTCAGAGCCGACCTCGTCGCCAGCTTGGCCGTGCCTCAGGGCATCAGCTATGCCCACCCTTGCCCCCATCATCGGACTCTGTAAGCTACCACTTAAAAAATTAGCAGTTGTTAACGAACCAACAAACCACTAATTAGTCCGCATTTAGTATTAATAACTCGATCCAGTCGTTGGAAAAGGGTTTGTATGAATTTTTATTTCTTAACCGCTCCTCTCAAACCAAAGCTTAATTATTATACGAGTTTTTAAATTTGTACAGGTTGAGTATACATATCACTTATACTAAATTATTAGTCTTTTAATTAATTGGTACATATTGAACATATATATCACCTATTGCGCTAATTAAGTCATTGTTTATACTGGGATCGTCACAAGAATTAACCTCTCAATCGAAACCATATTAACAAACAAGCCATTTAATCTCAATAAACCGAATTGTTGGGAAAGAGTTTGTATGAATTTTTGTTTCTTATTACATACTAGAGCAAACTTAACATTTTTGCGACGGATCAATTCGTCGCTAAGATCTAAAAGTTCATCCCTAAAGACATCAGCGACGGAATAATTCTTCTGAATTTATATGATTTGATTATTATTGATTAAGTCAATAATAATTTCATAACAATTATGGTATTCTTTTCTCTTTGTTGGGTACGTACGTGTAGACTCGAGCTTTGTGCCGCCGTTGGTGTACGTGATGCTAGGGAGCTTAAGGGACTTGACGGTGGCGTCGCTGCTTATATCGACCATGTTGGGGAAGGAAGTGAGTCCCATGGAGAATCCGAAGCAGTACTTCCATTCCAGTTGGCTATAACGGCCACTTTCTTCGCCGGAGTATTTGAAGCTAGCCTTGGATTTCTCAGGTGACTGAGCCTAGTTTAGTCGAGGAAAATTAACTTTTTCTCTGCCTAATTAATCGTCACGTGATACGTCTATGTCAATTTTACCATGGTGTGACATAAACGAATATTAATTGCAATGTAGATGAATAGTTTGGGGAAGTGATTAATCAAGCTCTTAAACATTGATGAGTTGGCCAAAGAATAAGGGGTTGTTAATAGTAATGTATAAACGCAGACTCGGGTTCATCGTGGACTTCTTGTCGCATGCGACGATAGTTGGGTGCATGAGTGGAGCAGCCACTGTACGTGGATTGTCTGGAACAACTTAGAGGAATGTTGGGATTGGTACACTTCACCCATGAGACGGATGTAGTATCCGTTATGCGTTCCATATTCACTCAGACGAACCAGGTCATTATTAATGAATTAATTGTATTTGCACATATACTCTTTTGGGTGCATGACTTATGTTCGCCATTATGATCGGGTGATTCATTTCAAAATGATGTCATTTGTAACATATATAATGAACAAGAGAACACATCAATTTGCATAAAAATCCGTCGAGATTTACTTTGATTTGAAGCATTTAGGGTTGGGGTTTAATGTTTACAATTTGGGGTTTATGGTTATGGTTCGGAATGGAAGGTGTATGACTTAGGATAATGCATCGATTAGTTGTAATCCTATGTTTATAATCATATTATACTAATGTTACCAAGTAAATTTCAAAATTCAATGTCTTAAGAACCTAATTTTACAGTTGGGTGCATAATATGTAGTCATTTTTTATTAAAAATTATTGGTTCACTAATTAATTACAGTGGGGTTTCTAAATTAACATCTAATTGTTGTTGGATATTGCAGTGGAGGCGGGAAAGTGGGATTCTAGCTAGGTTGTTGCTTTCTCTTCTTCCTCCTCACCACCAGATACTTGGTAAGTGCATTGTCCAACTTTTATAACAGAATAATAAAAGTTATTAATCCTGCTAAGATATAGTCAACTGAGTTGAATCTGTTGATGAAGTGATTGAATGGTGAAAAAAACAGAGCAAGAAGAAATCCTACTTCTTTTGGATAAATGCAAGGGCGCCTCTCACGTCTGTCGTCCTTGGAAGTGTCCTTGTCTATCTCACCCATGCCGAGAAACATGGTGTTCAAGTGGTGAGTAATCTAGTATAAACACATGTTAATCCATCATTAAGCCAATTAATTACGATTACAAGTCAGCTGCAACACATTCACCAGATTGAAAGCTGAAACACTCTTCTGGTGGGCAGATTCGGAACCTCAAGAAAGGGTTGAACCCACTATCCATATCAGACTTAGCATTCGGTTCGCCCCATCTGATGGCGGCTATTAAGACTGGGATCATCACGTCTGTCCTGTCCTGCCCCGTTCTCGACTCATTCTATCTCAATTTTTTACAATATATATAAATATTTCTCCTATTTTGACTTTTCTTCAGTTAGTTATTAGTTAGAGTCAATCTTTCAACTTTTAGATTCAATTACTCATTCTATTATTACTACTAGATTAGAAGCCCGTGCTTCGCCACGGATGTTTATAGAGAAAACCTCCACTAATGCTTGCCTTTCAATGTTTAGGAAGGGATACCATCTACCCAAAGGTTAATTACAATCTACTGTAAAAAAAAAAAAAAAATCACCATTTCATTCTAATTCATGACTTGCACTACCAGATCGGGGAGATTAAATTTATTTAAAGATGAAAAGTAGAATGAAAAGAAAATTAGTTTAAGATCATAAAAACTCTGAAGCTAAGATAAAACTTGATCTCTGCATCGGAAGATGAGAACTTGCAAACATCAATCCGAGCCAAAGTGTAGAGTACACATATAAGAGCCAAACAAAAATAGTAAGCCAGTGCAACACATCATGAAAAAACAAAAATAGTAATTAGAATTACAAAACTAACGAAGAAAATGCATGCATGAATAGATACATTCATTCTTAACAATGATTTATGCAGAAGACAATACAAAGTTTTGACTCTCACATGGATCGGTTTCAGCTTTCATGTTGCTGCTTTCCCGCCTAATCAGTTGGCTTCATATCATTCAGAACCCAATGATAAGAAGTAATTCTCAAAGCAGAGCACGAACTGTAGATGCTAAAAGAAGAGAATTGCTTGAAAATTTCTACATTATCAATTGAGAAATCTACAACTAAATAGTATCCATCAGTGTCCAATTAAACATGAGCTTTCAGAGGTGTTCGCTTATCTCGTGAAGGGATATGTCTTTGAAACAACATTGCAGCTCGGGACTGTGAATGATGTTTTGGATGAGAATTTGTATATAAGACAACAAAATGCCTTCGGAAACTGTAAGAATGATATGCATAAGAACAACAAATCAGCTTGTTACATAAAGTAAATAATGAAAAAGGATATTGATCAGTCATGTACAAAGCTGAAAAAGACAATTATATAAACTGAATGGAACTAACTAAGGTGATGTTCTCTGGAATAATGGGGTCATTTACAAAGGTGACGTCAATCTACTTCATAATTGGATCCTTGAACAATCCATGTCAAAGATAAAACTGGTACAGCAATCAATTAAAACAATGGACCCATATCTGATAGCAAGAAATTAAGTACGTCGACTAATTGGAATGGCCAGCTAGAGGGAACCAACAACAAACCACATTCGAGCTATCAGTGTGAAGTAGAGCTGACATACATGCGTTCCACGTTCAGATATAAATCTCCAGCATGCTTTTCATGTTCAGTGCAAAAAGCAATGTTGAAAGCAAGAATCAACAAAAACAAAAGGGACATACATATCAAGATTGGTGGCAACACATTAAATTTAAAACCAACGCTAATCTGAAACCCACTATGATTCAATTCAATTGTACCCCAAGATGCCATAGGTCTTCCAAAATCAAGAGAAGTCGAAGGCATGTAGGGAAAAGCAGCAAACTAAAGCAGATGAAGAAGAAAAAACAACAGGTAGCCATTACCTGGAGCCTGGAGGAGCAAAGAAAAATAAAATGAGCCTAAGGTCCAAAAGACCAAAAAAGAAACACTTAAGTTATCATCTGCTTTTCTTATTCTGCATAACAATTATAAATCGATACCAACCGTTAAAAACCTCAGAAGTGTTTGTGAAAAAGTACTGTTGCAATGGTGCCAATCTCATCAAAAGCAATTGAACCCAATTTATTCATGGATTCGATAACTTCCCTAGCTCTACCAACCTCTTCTCTGTTGTAATATTATATGGTTACTTGTAGGAAACCTACTGCAATGTCCACCTTTGCATTATAACACCAACAACTACGATTGAATATGAACAAATAATAGGGAAAGTAAGAATACCAATCCAAATCACACATGCAGGAACAAAAAAACCATACCTCCTGTATAATTATGCAGATGCACAAATCTCAATATCAACATAACTCAAACTAAGAAAATGAGAACACTTGGATTCAATTCCCTAGCATGTATCACTATCAAACTAAAAAAGTTGGGGGTTTACCATTTCCCTAGAACTCTATCATCATAAGAAGATATATGAGAATTTGATCTATAAAGCCAATATGAATAAGAATTTTCATAGCTTGGTTTGATTGGAAGTAGAATAGGTTAACTCAATGTATAGGGATCTTTCACTGGGCTCTTGCCACCCTCCACAATTAGTCTCATATCAAATCCATGAATAAATTGGGCTCAATCTCAAATCACTGGGCTCTATTCACTGATCTACAATACTTGTGTTCATTCAGCCAATGGGTGAAAAGCAATAGTGTTGTCAAAAGCATTGTCAATTTAATTATTAGAAATGAAAGGAATCAGTAAATCATATCTATGAACAAATTGGGTTTGAACATTAGCTATTTGCGGTAAATGAACAGAAAGTAAATCCATGAACAAAAAGTCAGGGGAGCTAAATCCAAGTTGTTGACTCACCTAATTCCAGTAATGGATGTCGCCGCCAGGAGATTCTCCAGGTTCCAATGGACAAAAAGAGTCACAGTTAGGCCAATCTTCGGCGGAGTTCATTGGATGTGGAAAAACTTTGTGGCGACCGTCTTGTCGTCTTCTTCAAGAAATTGAGAAGGGCAAGAGGCTTGGCTCGTAGGAGACAGATTGAAGGAGCTGCAGCGAGGGTTTCAGCTCAAGCTTAATTAAATCGAAGGAGGAAAGGACAGTAAAATCCGGAGAGAAAAGAGAGGTCGAGATGATAGAGGAGGGGATGCGGCAATCACTTTCCTTTTCGAATGCTACCGGCCGCCAAATCTGGGAGGCTCCTCTTAAATCCTTGAATCGCAGCCAATGTCGCCGGCGCTGAGATCTTTATTTTGGTCTTTCAATTTTGCGCGTGGAGAAGAAGGAACGGGGAGAGAGAATGATAGAGAAAAAAAGCAGGAGAGAGGAGGTTTAGCGATATGGATCCAACGGTTCGAGAATAAAGATACAATGGCTATTGCTAGGGCAGCCCAAAATGATTTCACTTGGAATTAAATAAAAACGACAACAGCGTATCTATGCAACAAACGTGAACAGTATCCTCCGATTTTTTCTTAATGAACAGTAACTACGATTTTTTTAGAACTAGAGACTTAATAATTCTAATTTTTCATTCATATAGTGTTTTCTCTTTCGTTTTATCGTAAAAAGTAAAATTTGCATGTATTTTTTCAAATAACATGTAAGTCGAGTGGGTCAACACGCCCCGTACGCGCGCGGGTTTTACCCGCCCCGACCCGCAGTTGCGTGGGGCGGGACATGGATATTGAGGTACCCGCCCAGTCCCGCCTCATTGCCATCACTAGTTGCCTCGGCGGATTGAGAGTTTTATCACATGACGTCGTACGTGTTATGGTTTGCATGTCGAACTCCAATGATTATGAAATCGTACTAGAGCAAAAGAGTTTGTGGCCACGTGGTTGTACCGTTGGTTTCCAATTTGGAGCCATCAGGTTTGAATCTCAAGGACAACCCTTGTTTCACCCTTTCCCGACCGTTCTAGTAGCACACCTTGTAACAGGTTTCTAAGAAAAAAAACGTACTCGAGGTTATACCAGACTATCAACAGTAAAGTATTTTATTCCAACTGTGCTTTAACTGCTTCCTACCAATTAGTGGCCACTATCCATAATTTTCATCCACTGGCCTGTAGGTATAAACATTGAGAAAATATTGTGCATCACCTTCACTTCTCTTGCTCTTCTCTATGAGTGGCAATTAGTCGGATTTCCCTAAATCATCATCATCCTCATCCTCATCCCCATTTCTAAATAGACAAATTCGTACACATCTCATACTGATGTGGGAAAAGATTTTGTAACCCCATCCCAATAACCGTGATTTTCGGGTACCCGTGGATAATACCCGCCTCGTGCTCTCGTATATCTAATATTTATATACCTAGAATGCAACATGTTGATATTCAATTATAACAATAAACTAACCTAATATATCACGAAAGCAACAAACATAGTGTCATTCTAAATACGAATTCAAAGCATCTAATACTAAAATATTCATTAATTCATAAATCAAAAACATATATTATCCAAATCATTATTTCTAAGTTGACAAATCTACTGAGCAATGAATAACTAACATAATCTTGTTAGCAAAGGGAAAATAAGTGAAAGAATGAAGAGGAATTGAGTGAAATAAATTAGTATTTGATTTCGGTGCCCACTCAACTACATTTCAAATCTTTAATTTTTTGAAGTACTCTTCCTACCATTTGGAGAATAGAGAACAATATTATTCCTAAACTTTTAATATAATAAAGAAATAATTTTTGTGAGGCAACCTGGATATGTAGTCATTATAAGGCAAAGAGGCTAAAACTAAACACGTCTCATCCCGTAAAAGAATTTCATTTTAACCCCATATATGCCTCATGCACAATAAATACAAAAATCTCCATTTGACTGGATCAGGAT